TAGTTAATTCTTTTATTTTTCTTGAATACAATCAATTTATTAGTAGATTTCATGATCATTTCGTAAAGTTAGTAATTATTATATAGGGTGTTATAGCGAAACATCTTATTGGTACCTTATAATTTTAATAATATTAAAACGGTACCGAAATACCTTCACTTTTTAAGAAACATTCTTCCACTACTTTGAGACATAAAATGTCTATTTTTACCCTTATCACTAATTAATAACAACTTAATAATTTAAAAAAAATCTAAAACTAATTTAAAATATATAAAGATTAAAAAGTTAAAATAAGTTAAAACGTTTTCAGAAAATATTTATAAAATGAACGGTTTAGACATTATATGTCTCAAAAATCAATTTCAGAGTACCAAAAAATATTTTTTTTAAAGTGAAAATACCGTTTTAATATTATTAAAAACATAAGGTACTAATAAGATGTTTCACTATAATAAAGAATATCAAAACGATTTTATCCCTATATAATAATTGCTAGCTTTATGAAATGATCATGAAATCTACTTATACATTGATTTTATTCAATAAAAACAAAATTGTATACCTGAATGTATTAAACAATGCCAGCGTTGAAATAAGATGTGCTATAGTCCTATAACGTTCCATATTTCACAAGCATATGGTGACAAATAATCTAGTTTTACACGGATATTTTCTTAGGATAATTAGCATGTGCAATGCACGTGGCTGGTCCTTACTTACTAGTTTTATTATAAGTTTTGTATGTAGCAAATCGCCGTTACTAGTTTGATCGTATATAAGTTTGTATCTAGTAAATCGATCACATTTATAAGCTGGTCATCTTATGTATATCTAGGACCAACTTTTTATTCCCCCCTCAAAGACTAATTGAACATTTCGTTTCCTCCTTAATAAACTATGTGCACTCGTATAAGCCTCGAATATAAATATATTGAAAAAAACAAAAATAATTTAATTGGTTGTGTGTAACTTACATAAATGATTTTATTATGAAAATGAGAATCTTATTATATTTTTACTATTTTTTGTTAATTTTTAGTGAATTCTTATTTTAAAATGGGGTCATCCAATATTAGGTGATATTTAAATTTTTAAGAATCTCAACGTGATAAGAATCTCACGCACACACCCAACACAGCCTACGTTCTGCCCAATCACCCCGAGCTCTACAGATCCACCACCTCACCTGAGGTCGTCATCATTGCTAGAAATCTTTAGTCGCCCACAACGCCGTTGATGCTCCTCCCACAACGTTGTGCGGACCCATCATTGCAAAGTCAATGCCTTTTAGATCTGGTTTGAGGGGGAGAGAGATTAATACAATCATACAAGAAAACTTTTTTTTTTTACTTTGATTTTTTATTATTTGCTTTTCAAAATATATTTTTTATTCAATTTATATATTTGATTTGTTATTAAATTTCAAATTTTTTTTAGAGTTTTTTTTTTTTTTTTTTTTTTTTACAATTTTACGTATTTAATAATCTCATAATATTTTTAAAAAGAAATCTAAGATGTTAAAATTGTAATCACCCAATTAGTAAAATTGAATTTGTTTTTCTAAAATATCTTACCAAAGAGAAAACAGTTTTAAAATATGTAAAATTATTAATTTGATAAGAAAAAATTCTTATGTGTAGTTGCATATTCTCTAAAATTTATATTATCTTCTATCACTTTTTCAATAACATGATTCCTATTAATTACTGTACACCAAATGCCTCTTGAAAATTATTACCTCACATTTAGACATCATTATCTCCTCTTAATATTATGTGTAGTCTATGTGATTTATTTCTTATCTTCTTATATCTATTTCTGACTCTTAACCTATAAATAGATGTTGTATGAGTATTTGTTCTTTCATCCCTCACACGTAAAAGAAATTAAAGCAGGTTATACAAGGGATCTTTAACAAGAAAATTCTAAATGCAGAGCCCATGAGAATTATCTATCTTTTATTATTTTCTTTCCTACGATGTTTTTTGTTAGTACGGATTTTAACGAGGCATAATTTTTTTTTTATAGTGGACGTTCAAAGAAGAGTGTTACAAATCAATTTTATATTATGCTGCCAATTGATACACCATAACCTCTGTATATAGTTTTATGGAGAATTACTATCTCACATTTAACGTCATTGTTTCTTCTAATTCCTCTCTTTATATTTAAAATTATCTTTTCATAACTCTTCTCTTAATATTTTGTATAATCTAGGTAACTTATGTGTTCTTCTCTTAGATCTATTTATGATTCTTAGCCCTCTATTTTTATTTTTATTTTATTTTATTGTGAGTATGTATTGTTCATCCCTCAAAAAGCAATAATAAAAAGTTATTCCTTCTTAATTAAAAATGCGCGCAGAATTTAAAACGAGGGTTATACAATTTGTTAAAAAAGAAAAGAGAAGAAAAAAAAGACAAAAAATGGGAAAACTTAAAGTAAAAGACAAAAAAATAAAAAATAAAAATAAAAATGACTCGCACATTCCTTCTCACGTGCAAAACGTTTCGCAACGTAAAAGAGAGAACGGATTCTCCCTTTTATGTTAAGTAATAGGCATAGACTTCTCTCTTTTTCTTTATAATTTATAACACTTGGCCATATTAGAGCAAACATTTTTCTACATCCACTTTTCATTCTTTTTATCTTTAATTAACTCCTATATTTAACGTATGACGTCAGATAATGAGAAATTAATAATATAGGAAAAATCTTTCTCTTATGACTTTTAGAATAAGATATCCAAAAACCAAAATAGTGGCCACAATATTACAATTGAAATAGCCATGAAGCATAGCACAGATATCATCTTCTTGTGTCGATGTATTTAGTAAAATCGTGAAGCAACAAGACCAAAAAAACAGATGATATCTACATTCATTAAGATTAGATCCTGACAAATTCATATGATCTTTTTTCTTTCTTGGGAATTTATATGATTGGAAGTTTCGAATAAAGTTTTTTATTGTTGGTGTGAGACTGCAATAAGCAAAAAAAAAAGAAGAAAGAAATAAATTATCTTTCAGATAAACTGATAATGGAAAGTATTTTATGGTTACTTTTTCAATAGAATATGCCTCCACTCTCCATTTTTGGTAATCTACTCGCCTATTTGTATTTTCCTTTCTTCCATTGTTTTATATTACTGAGTTGATTTTGGTCACACTATATATATAGTACTATACCAGCTTGGAACAGTATATTTGTAACTTATTAAGATATATATCCGACTATGCTTTAATGTTTGGTTTGACATAGCCTTAAATAAAATAAAATAAATTGAAATTATGACCAATTAACCAAAGACTTAAGTTTATTATATGCATTTTATGGTTTCCAGGGTTTAAGTATAACAATAGTAGTAGTTGAAGGTATAATTTAACAGTAATTCAATATCTGACTCTAATTTAAAGTGTACAGAGTCTGTTAAAAAAAACTATTATAAACTTTAAATGGGAAATGATGTCATTTACTATAAGTTGTTGGGTGGAAAAAAAAAAAAAAAAACTACTTATGGCCCTTTTAGTTCATAAGTTTGAACATAAAAGTTTACACATAAATTTAAATTTTATAAGAAAAAATATTGTAATAAAAAAATTTAAACAGTAATTTAAATTTATGAACAAACAGGAGCTTTTTTTTTTCTTTTTTTTGTTCGCAAGTTAAAAGAAAAAGGGATTATATCAAGAACTTGGAAATTTCATGTTCCCTTATTTTTTTCGTGGCTTAGTTTCTATTCTTTCCAAGAAAATGAAAAAAATAAAAAAAGAAAAGGAAAAAAATAAAAAAAGCTTTCGCGCGGATTTAAAACTCGTTCTAAAATGATTTTGTTTTTTGTATGAAAATGAAAGTGAAAACGTTTTTAATCTCAGACAGAAATCACTTTTGAAAATGCGTTTGGTAGTTTTATCAAAAGATTATTTTCAGTGTAAAAAAACTCATTAATGTCTCTCTTTCTCTCTCTCTGCTCAAGAGAGGAGAAAACGAAAACAAAAAATGAAAAATAACTAAAAGTCATTTTTCATTTCTCTCTCATTTTATACTAAACTAAAAAATCATTTTTATTTCTGTTTTTTATCTTTATTGCGTCAAACGCCGTTTTGAAAACGTTTTTATTTTTTCTTTTTCAAAAAATGAGATCAATTCTAAACACGACATTCACTTCCACTAATGGGAAGAGAAGTGGGTTGAAGAATGACCAACTACATCCATTCATACATCTACATGAATATGTATGTAGAGAGAAACATTATAAGATCATTTTATTATTAAGCAATGTTATGTATAATCATCATGACTAATTTCAATTAAGTATAAATTCACATACAATTGTGAAAAACTTTATTATAGAGGCATTACAAATTCTAAGCGATATATTGAAAAATAAGTATGTTAAATTCACATACTAATTCTTCAATATGCATTGTTTATTAGGAACTTAACAACATATTTCCAAACATTAGGGTTGATTAAATCACATCAATAAAAAAAAAAATTATAAAACATACAGAATATAATGAATATCTAACTGTTTAAAACGAAACTTACGATATTCAATCGTAGAAATCTTATCAATAGGTCATTCTAGTTGAGAAAAAAAAAAAAAAAAAAAAAAAGAGAGAAACTATTTTCTTTTATTGATAACAATAATTTATTTTGTAATACAACTTAGCAATACTTAATTTTTTGAAGCCATCATTGGAAGACCCAATTAAGCAATAAGCAGTACCTAATTCTGCAAAAAGTTTTTTTTTTTATTTCCTTATTTTTGTATTTCAATGTCGTAGTTGAAAGTCTTCATATGTGCCTCTTTCTGGTTCTAAACACTTGTGTATAAAGAGACACAAAAGACACTATTTTTTCTCTCCCTCTCTTAACAACTAATAAATTTGCAAAACACAACTCTGATTTTTTTCCTTTGTTTTCCCTTTCTTTTTCTTTTCTCACTTTTTTCTCTCCAAGTCCTTCCACCATAGAAAATTCATGAAAGCTTAACTCTGCTTAACCAAAGGTACTCTCTCTCTCTCTCTCTCTCTCTCTTCGTTTCTTCATTCTCGTTTCGATGTGCTTCATAGTAAAGGTTGGTAATAGTAATACATAGATGTGAATCAAAGTTAATAACGATAATACCCATTTGCCCAGGCTTTGTCTCTCACGTGGATTTTTCACATTCCAAGCTTTCTTCCATGGAGGTTTGTCGATATTCAATCTTCTTCTTCCTTTTTCAACTCCTTTGCTTACTCTCTTTATATGCATTGTTCTCCAATGTCAATTGTTTTATTTTTTTTTTTTTTTTGTGGCGTTACATGATAATCTCGTGCGTTGAACTTTCGGTTCTCAATGTTCGATTTGATTGTTACTGTTTTAGTTGTAATCCCGGAGTTTTATGATAATCAAATTTGAGTTGATTATTTCTATATTTCGAAGAGTGTTTTATTATGTTTATGTTTATGTTCTTTAATTTTTCCACAAGCTAACATTATTTTTCCTGTTAACCTTGTATGCGAAGTGGATCTCGTGTTCGTGGTATACATACATACATATATATATATATATATATATATGTATGTATGTATGTATATTGTATGTTTCTTATTGTGGGTTTTCCGATTTGTCTAAGATATATGGTATTTCAATTTAGAATGTCATCAAGAATATATGCATACTTGTATTGTTTATTGGGTTTGGTGTTAAAATTCGGTTTTTGCTAACAGTGTTGACATTAAATTGTGATTAGAGTGTTAAGATTTACTTGCTAAACTGGTCGTTAGAGATTTGATCATTTTAATTAGTCTGAGAAGAGATCATGTTGTGTAGGTTGACTTTTGATTTTAGGGTGTTTGGTTGATGAGAATGCTATTTTTATTTATTATTGCTCCTCTTTGTTATTTAAGCCATTGATAACTTACATTCTACATGTTCTTTATCTGCTATATATGAAAACATAGTGAATTGAAATGCTATATTTACTATTCTTGGAGTTGAAATTTCACATTCCAGAAGTACAGTTATTGTCTCTTTGAAGTTTGAAAGTGTTTAAACGTTTGGATTTTATTAGGTCTCTTGTGGAATGAATTTTAAGAACTAAATACATAGTCGATCTCATTGTTAATCGTTTATATTTCCCTTTCCAAAATTTGTTATACTTTTTTTGTGTGTTTGTTTTCTCTTGTTGGTACATAACAATTGTTTTGTGACGAATCCAATATATAAACAATTGGGGATTATCTGCCCAAGCATCACCTTTTGTGCACTCCCAATCATCCGTTCTTGAACCTTTTTTTTTTTTTGCTCTATATTCATTGTCAGGTTGAGTCAGTAGAGCTGGATCCTAATGGGGATTGTATCAAAGACACATACATTGAGAATTTGAGTTGTCCCGGCTCTCCTGATACAAACAATATATTTGGAGAACCATTGCTGAATCCTCGGGTTGGAGACGAGTACCAAGTTGCCATTCCTTCTATCATCACAGAATCCGAGCATCTTGAGCTGTTGGCTAACCCTCTTGATTGCAGAAGTGCTAACGTTTCCCATTCCTTTCTAGTGGGTTTACCCATCCCGATTGCGTGGTTTCATGATGAAGAGAATGATAATGAGGGTGGAGGGTCGGGATTTCTTAGAAACTCTGATGACACAGTTGATGCAAAGAGGTTTGTAGAAGCTAGAAATGGCAAAAAGGATCAAACTCCGTTTAGGAAGAAAAGTTTAGAACTCAATGTTGAAGAAAATTCTGAGTCCATGAGGGCAGAAACGAACTTAAATAAGTTAAAAGGAAGCAAAAACTATTACCCGGTTCCTGGCTTATCAACTAACCCTTGGAGTGGTTCTGATGTGGATAGTTTTCTTCTTGGCTTATATATATTTGGAAAGAACTTTTTTCAGATTAAAAGATTCATGGGGAGCAAAGACATGGGAGAGATACTATCATTTTACTATGGGAAGTTTTATAGGTCTGATGCATACCGGAGATGGTCAGATAGCCGGAAGATCAAAAGAAAAAAATGTGTTACTGGAAGGAAAATTTTTACTGGGTGGAGGCAACAAGAGTTGTTTTCTCGTTTGTCTTCACATATCTCAGAGGAATCTCAAACCTCATTACTTGAGGTACTTGATAGTTAACCACCATTTTCCTTTTTCTGTTTTTCTTAATTTTGTAAAACAAAAATTTTTATTTACTATTGATGCCTTTTTTATTTGTACCTTTCAATCTCTTTTGCAATGACATTACCATCTAGTGCTTTATGAATGCATTATGATTTTGTTCTTCTATATAGTTCCCTTCTTGCATGAGTTGCATCACTTTCTCTATTGAAGCCATTATATTGCTATTTTGAGATCCATTTGACAGACAGGTATTATTTCTCTGTTCTGTTAGCAGGGCTGTAAGTCATTTGCTGATGGGCGAATTTCATTAGAAGAATATGTCTCCGCTTTAAAATCTAGTGTTGGAATTCCTGTACTTGTGAAAGCAGTGGCAATTGGTAAAGGAAAAGAGGATCTCACAGGTTTTGCTATGGAGCCTGGAAAGGGCAATCATGACAGTTTAGTTTGCCCCAATTTACCAAGTGGTCAGGATTGCTCCTCACTCACATCCAAGGACATAGTAAAGTTACTAACTGGAGGGTTTCGGTTGAGCAAAGCTCGATGCAATGATATCTTCTGGGAAGCTGTTTGGCCTCGGTTGCTAGCAAAAGGGTGGCACTCCGAGCAACCAGGAGATCAGGGCTATATCAGCTCCAAACACTACCTGGTTTTTCTTGTGCCGGGAATAAAGAAATTCTCAAGAAGGAAACTTGTGAAGGGAGAACACTACTTCGACTCTGTTAGTGATGTCTTGAACAAAGTGGCATCTGAACCGAAACTTCTTGAGCTGGAAACTGAAGAATCTTCTGTTGGAGCCCGAAATGAACAAGATTCCTGGTCACCAGAGGTGGGGTCAGATCAGGATGATCCATCTGATTCTCGACGCCATTGCTACCTTAAACCTCGAGTTTCTACTTCAAGTTCGAGCCATATGAAGTTTACTGTTGTAGATACCAGCTTGTTTTGTGGAGGAAAATCATCCAGCATAAGAGAACTTAGACATTTACCAGCTGAATTCAAACTAACTTCCAAACAGACCAATCATTCAACGGGAGATGAAGGGGATTCTTCTGAGGATAATTTGGATGAATTCGAGACCGCTGAAAAGCCTTTCCACAGTGAAAAGGCCAAGCACCATAACGGTATGTCTGACAAAACTGGTCCAATTTTTATGAAATTAACTGTTGTTGATACCAGTCGAGTCCATGAAGGAAAACCGTCAAAGGTGAGAGAATTGAGATGTTCGCCAGTGGTAGTTAAAAGAGCTTTCGATATGACTGCTATTTTGAGAAAAACTGAAAACTTTGAGGATTCATCAGGGAGGCATGAAAAAGATGCAGCTGATATTCCATCAAAAGGTAAAAGAAAAATTTTGAAATCAAATTCCCACAAGGATATACGTGACAGTGCTTGTAAAAACCAAATGGCAACAAAAAAGAATTCGGATACTGCAGATAAAGTGGAGACCCAACAGGATCAGAATACTTGCATTTTTGATGAAAAGCATTTGAAGACTGTACTGCATCAATTTAAACGGAGAGCAAAATCTGGGCATTCAGATTTTGTAGTTCCTGTCGTCAAGAGACGAAGATTAACTGCTTGTGCGAAGGAAAAGATGTCCGACCTCTCTCAGAATTGTTCCCAAGGTTTGGAGTCAAAACAAGTGAAACTCCATGGGACAATCAGCTCATCTGAAATGGGCAAGAACGTTTCTGAAGTACGTCCTCATGAGGAGTCATCAATTGTTTTTCCAGCTGAAAGCAATGCAGAAGAAGATATGCATTCAAAAATTATGAGGCGGAATTCTGCTGCCGTGCACACGTCTGAAGGACAAGAGGACAAACATCAATCTGAAGCACCGAATGACCAAAAACCACCACCCGAGGATCTGCTAAACTCCAGAAACACTGAAATGCTAATTGAGGAGGTACAAGGCAGCAAGAAAGCAAATACATATGGTCATCGCTCTTCTTCTAAAGAAAAGGAGCTTGTTTCAGAGACACTGAAAGCTTCTACTACTGCCAATACTTCAAAGCAGAACCCCATCGTGAATAGAAGGCAAAGCACAAGGAACCGACCATTGACCGCCAGAGCCTTGGAGGCTCTCGCCAACGGGTTCTTAAATGTACAGAGGAGGTCAAAAAGTGCAGACATCCTCGGAGGAGAAAATCTTTTCTCGAGTCCCTTCAGGAAGGCCCGTAGCAAAGCCAAAGTAGCTCCAAGTAGTCATGGTAATGCTGTCACTGGAGCTGTGGCTTCAAGGGAAGACAAAGAAGTGAATGGAGCTTGTGATGTAAAAGAAAAATCTGATTAGCAAACCACCTGATCAAGTTGAAGGAAAGTGGCCCGCTAACCATTAGGAATTACGGGTGCCTCTTGTTCATCTTGAAGCCTTGATTTTCACAGGCAATTGTTTTGATGAAGTGTTGAACTCTTTTTTGTACTTGCAATTTTGAGTTTGCTGTGGAAGAACTGCAAAGGTGGTTAGCGTCTATCCTTCTGATTAGTCCAAGATTCAAAATTGTAATTGATAAATATAGTCATGAAGCAGCCAATTTGTATGGGGAGAAAGTGGTTTCTAGAGAGAGCTAAAAAAACAAAATTATAATCCCGGGGATCTGGTGGTAATTTTTTTTTGCTACTCTAAAAAGGGTATCTGGTGGTGCACTTTATGTTTCCTAGCCCTTTCGGTTATAGCAAGCAATTCCGATGATTACCGAGTATATAAAAAGGGCTTAAACTAGTATTTCACTGACCATCCAATTAATTCACTCCCTTTCATCCTGTGGGGCCTGCAGATGCCCACTAGAGGCAGGGTAGCAATGCGCGGGTGCTAAATATCAAACTCTGATAGGATAGGTAAAAGAGACATAACAAAGGCGTCCTTACCACTATACAACGACCTTTGGTGGTCATGTGAAATTATTTTAACCGGAAGTTTGCTTCTATTGGTATACAACTTTAAGCCCTTGGGTCTTAAAAATTTTAGAGGGATTTAATTAAGGTGGCCATTTTCACCACATACAGTAACATAACTCGAAAATAACTCGAAAATGATGTGAAGTAAATTTTAATATTTAAGTCACTTTTAATTGACATATCTAAAAAACATTAAAAAAAATCAATACTCTTTTTTACGTGACAGCCCTTCTCACACATCTTTCTTTTTATCTTTTTTTTTTTTTTTTACTTTTTAATGTTTTCAATGTTTTTTTTTTTTACATTTTAATTTTATATCTTTTTTTTTAAAATATATTTTTTCTTGTTTTACTCCTGGGAAAGTAAATTTTTTCACATGTATTCCTATTTTATTTTTGTCAATGATTAAAATAATTTTCTTTAAATGTGTCTCTATTTAATTGTTTTGTATATAATTTTTATCACATTAAAAGTTATCTTTACATATATTTTTTTTTCAAATAAATAATAACAATTCTTAAATAGTTGTATAAATAAATTTCTCTATTCAGTAAATAATAAAGTTTCAATGTAAGGAACACAGGAATACGTGCTCGTGCTAAAAAAAACTAGTGTAATACAAAATAACTGGATTGGTTTTGGGCCAACTAGCTAGACAAGCTTAATACTTTTAAGTAAACGAGTTGTAAACGTGTTGACACAACCCTGCTGTGTATGTTCCATGCAGTATTAACAAATATTTTATTGATGGGATTCAGACTTCATAATTATAAAATTAAATATATAATATCCCAAGGTCCTTCTCAATGAAATTGTCGCCCCTCTTATTTTGAAACTTAGTTATGAAGTACTTGGACATTTTTACCTATTTAGTAGTTTCATATTCACGGTTTTTAGGTATTTTACATATTTACTTCTTAATTTGTATAATTTTAGCAACTTGCTCCTTAAACTATTAATTTTAGTGAGTTGCCGCTTCAACTTATAAAATTATTATAAAATGCCTCATTTTTAAGATGATTGTGTTAAATTAGTGTCAAAATAACACGTTTGGCAAAAAAGTTCATCATTCTAATTTAAATGTAACACAAATCTTTCAATTTCTTAACTTTTAATCCCTTAAATCTAATAAAAAAAATTAAAAAAATTTAGTAAAATAGAGCACATTGTAACAATTTTACATGTTCGGGGGTTAATTAAAAAATAAATCAAGAGATAATTTGCTAAACCACGGTAAGTTTAGGTGGCAATTGTGCTAAAATATCTTTTTTAAAGATATTTTTACGTGTTTGTTAATTATTATAAGGATTTGGAGAAATTACATTATTGTTATCATGTACTTGCTTGATTTAGTTGTAATTAGTAGTTAATAATGTCAGTTTTAAAATTTTAAGAAATAAAAGTTTTCACCATTACTATTAGTTCTCTAATACACAAGATATTTTCGCCATTGTTCGTTTAATAAATGTGTTCATATGTTGTGTTTTGTCACTTATGTGATAAACGTTTCATGATTGTGTATAGGTTTCTGACACATTTAAAGCCCCATTCATTTCGCCCATTCGAGTTTAGAATTCAAATTTTGTTACAGTAAAAAGCTCTCAGAAACAGTCACATTTAATTTTTTTGCTACAGTAAAAAGCTCTCACATAAAATCACATATCAACTCGAATTAAAAATTTGAATCAGTGAACTAAACGGGCCCTAATCATATCGTATTTATACTCATTCTAATCATGTCGCGCTATAACTATGTCGTCCCGAACATAATAACGAACACGAATTGTGGGACTTACTTGATTACACACTCTGCTACTAGTGCCAAAGAAGCCTAGCTCCAGTTTGGGTAACTGGTTCACATTTTTATTGATTCAAACTTTTTTACTTGAACAAAAAAATTCAAATTGTGTAATTGAAATTGTAGTTTGAATTGACGTTTGGATGAGTAGTTAAAAGTTTAATCTGAAGAGGGAATAAAATTCAAATTTGTGTTTGGTAGGTGTGAAAAGCAGAAAGAGTTGACGCCTTTTACTGTTCAATAATGGTTTAAAATGTTGAACTTTAGGAGGGAGTTAAACTCTAAGTTGAACGGTTTAAGCCCCCCTTTGTTCGCTGGTTTGAATTTTGTTGATTTGATTTTTTTTATTTGAACAGAAAAATTCAAACTGTGTGGTTTAAATTGTAGTTTTGAATTGACGTTTGAATGTGCAGTTAAAGTTTTAATTTGAACAGTGAATAAAATTTGAATTTGTGTTTGGTCGGTGTGAAAAGCACAGAGAGTGGGAACCGTTTTACTGTTTAAAAATGGTTTTAACAATTGAACTTGAGGAGGAGCTAAACTCTAAATTGAACTATTTAACTCAATTCAAATGAAGAATATAATTCAAACTACATGCTTACTAAATACCAGTTCAAACTATGCTCACTGTTCAAACTGAGCTGAACAGAACTAAACCAGTGAAATAAACGGGGGCTAACTCAATTTAAACGGAGAATATAATTTAGATTGAGTGCTTATCACATACGAATTCAAACTGTATTCACCGTTTAAACTGAGTTGAATTGAATTAAACAAGTGAAACAAACGGGACCTAGTATCATTTGTTGGGAAGTTTTGAAATAAGCTAGTAAATTACTAGTAGTAATCGATAATATTAGTCTCCAGAAAGTGGGACTAGAGAAGACCAGTAATATTTTTTAAGAGAAAATTACATAATTTACCGATATGAGTCTAGATTTTTATCTCTTATTCTTAATTAATACATTTATAATAGTATAATTATTTGACTAAAAAGATTGCTAATTAAAAGTGATGAGTAAAAATCTTGACTCATGTACTTTAAAGGTATTTGTCTCATTTCCCTTATTTTATAAATTAAAAATAATCAGCTAGATTGCCGGTAATAATCTATTAGGTTATTTTCGAGAACCTGTGTCGGTGACTGACTCGGGGTCACTGTTGCTGTCGGTTGAAAACATTTTGTCGATCTTTTGAAGTGGTAGAAATCCCAAGTTGAATGCCACTTGTGGCATTACGAAAGTTTTTTTTAACAGGACAAAAAAAAATCTATATGGACCATTCATGCTGCACAACTAAATTAATAAATATGGCTAAAACTTGTAGTAAATAATATCGTTTTGACCATAATTGTAAAAATGAACGTGTTTGAAATTAATTGTAGGGTTAATTAATTAAATTATCTCTAAGATTTACTTTTAATTTTACTTTAGTATCTTATTTTAAATGTCCCACAATTAGTCTCTTTTTTATTACTCTGTTTTAGTTTGAGTTCTTCCTTAAACAATGCGTTAAATATTTAATATAATCTATAAAATTAGGAATAAATTGGAAACATCTGAAACTTAAGGTCTATTTGTGAAAATTAACTTTTTCTTTTTAATATTAGTTTTGCCTCTAAACTTTAGATGTGTACAATTTGAGTCTCTAATTTTGACATATTTTATTAAATATTTAACACTAAGTTAATTGAAGGACCGCAACTGAAACAAAGAAATGACTTAAGGAATAAATGTAAGACATTTAAAAAAGTCAAAGGCTAAAGTAGTATTAATTGTAAACTTCATATATCATTTGTGGGATTAACTCTTAATTATATTAAATAGTAGGTTTTGATTCTACAAATCACATTACTGGAAACATATAAAACAAAATAATGACAACGGAGACGGGACAGTTTTAAAATGAAGAAGAGACACAGAGGCATTTCTGAGTTCTGAAGTTTTTTTTTATGTAAAATATGGACTATGCCTTTTTTCTATACCCAAAATTTATGTTGGTTAAGTCCCAAAATAATACATGATTTGTCGTTATTTTATACAAATTTATTATTTATGTCATTTTAAATAAAAGAATGTCATTATAATTTTTTTATTTTTATTTTAATAATTAAATAATAATTATTTATTTTTAAATGTAATGATATAAATAATATTTTTTTATCATGTATTTTTTTCTTTTTTCCCCACCTACTTATATTTATATGTTCTCCCAATAAGCCAGTTTTGGGCCGTTTTATTCGGCCTTCTCGGACCAAAAGCAATCCTTGTACGGCCATTGCATTGGTCTATAGTGAATTATTAATGAAAATTTTGCGTCCCCTTACTTTTTCGGTTTTCCTCATTTTTTCTCCCTTCAAATATTTGTGCCATCTTAATTTGTCTTTAAAAGGAGATAAGAGTGGATTATAAATCTTTACACCCCCACTTTTCTATAAAAAAAAAATTAAAAAAAAATCTTCCTCCATTAAAGGAGCATTCTTCTCATCCTCTTTTTGAAATATTTGTATATTTTTAACAAAATAGTAAAATACCTTTGTTAAGAGAAGCTAATTTTTTTAACCAAAATTTTCATTTTATAATAGTAAAATACATTCGTCATAATATCAACAAAATAGTGATTTGTCATTACATTATAATTTTATAAACACTCCCGAACTATTAATTCTAGATCGACTTGCTCTGAACTAATTATTTTGTGTCAATTTACACCCTAACTTTTAATTGAGAATAAGTTGAAACAAATCAATAGTTTGAGAATATTTATATGAAATTGCAATAGTTCATGGTATTTGAATATTGTTGTCCTTCAAAAATTTCTATACAGAAAATGTGCAACTTGTCAAGCACTTGGTCAAATTTGATTCATTAAAAAAAAGCAAAAAAAATCCTTT